GGTTGATTTTTAACTGAATATAATTTGCTAGTTATGGGGATGAGGTAGTAGCATTCCATTTTGTGATCTGATGGGATTATCTTCCATTTTCACACAGCAGCTTGGTCTTAGGAGCCCTGGTGGTGTAGTGGTTATGCCTTAGGCTGCTAACCTCAAGACCAACAGTTCAACACCACCGGTCCCTTTGAGGGAGGGGGAGGCTTTCTACTCCCATAAAGAGTTACAACCTCAGAAGCCCACAGGGGTAGTTCTACCCGGACCTATAGGGTTGTTACAAGTTGGACTTGACTCAATGGCAGTGAGTTGTTTTATTTTTTTGGAGCCTGGTCTTTGGAACCTAACCCTGTTAATAAGTGGGCAGTGAATGTAATGATCTTTGCGGCACTCGTTTCAACTCCCACCTCTTTCTCTTATCTCTATGATCTGTTGAACAGTTACATCTATTTCAGGCTTATAGCCACCATCTATGAGCCAATACCACCCATCTCTAAAATTTCCAGACAAGATCTCTGTTACGGAATGAACTGAGTCCCCTAAAATATGTGCTGTAAACCACAACCTCTATGCCTGTGATTATAATCCCATTTGGAAATGAGTTATATTTGTTATGTTACTGAGCCAGGATTCATGTAGGGTGTGTCTTAAGTTAATCTCTTTTGAGATATAAAAGACATTAAACAAGCAAGCCGACAAGAAGACATGGAGGAGGAGCGATGTCCAGCTCCATGAATCCTGCTCAGGAGCAGAAGATCAGAAGAGACAAGGACCATCCTCTTTCCCCTAGCCTTGACTTGGCATCCAGAATTCAGACTTTTAACCTGCTCAACTGTGAGAAAATAAGAATTCAGTTGTCCACAGTCACTCATTTGTAGTATTTTTGCTATAACCCAAGAGAGAAAACCAAGCTCACTGCCATCGAAGTTGATTCTGATTCATAGGGACCTACAGAGCAGCATAGGACAGTTCCCTAGGGTTTCTGAGGCTGTAAGACTTTATGGGAACAGACAGACTCATCTGTCTCCAGCTTACTAAACTCACTGCCATCGATTCCATTCTGACTCACAGGGACCCTGTAGGACAGGGTAGAACTGCTCCAGCGGGTTTCTAAAACTGACTTTTTAAGGACGTAGGATCATATCACTCTTAATTTCCTCTCTTGAAAGTTGTCTTGTTCTAACTGGTAGAAAAGAAAAGAAACGACACCAGCTATCAGTAGGAATCTTTGAAAAGAAATTCAGACGACTAGAATCATCGATGATTAAGCACTGATGTGACATTTGCCACATAAATGTTTACTTAATATTTACCCTCAAGCTAAGAGGTCCCATCAGGCATCTATCTCCCAAGGTTTCTTGGGTATCTGGGATCCTACTGTCATTAAAAGTAAAACTTTTGCAGCTCCACTGGGTCCTCAGATGGGATCCTCTGTGCCAGCTTTCTCCTTGGTATGTTCAGCATTACAGCACTAGGTGGCATGGGTCTGGGACACTAGTGGCACCTCCTGTCACATTTTTCCCCTGGCATGTGCTTTCTCAGCTGAAGTTAATGGAGAGTGCCCACTGGGATGCTTGAGCAATAGTAACCAAGGCCCCCCGCCCCGACCTCCTCACTGAATGACACTTCAAGCCACCAGCCAAAGTGAAGGCTGTTAATTCTGTCCAGCCTGGTACTGCACGGTGGAGCCAGCAGCTCTCTTTTCTCCTGGGAGAGAATTCCTGAAAACCAGACAAGAAGAGCAGAGCCCATGGCTAACATCCAGAGCAGCACCTCATACATAGCAGCACCGTAAGACCCCTTTAGCTCTGTGAATCCATCTAAAAAGGACTGTACGTGCTCCCCAAAATTATGCCTTCCTTTTTACTAAAAGATGCTGGTTCCTGTGTAAACGGAAAGAAATCGAACTCTTCTGGAAGCCACAGTTGGCAGTGAGCTTTCTGGCTGGGGAAAGCAACCTCCAGCCCAGACAACGCAGCTGGCGCCGCAATGCCGAGTTCCAAAAAGAATGGTAGACAATGACAAGGTGGCCATTTGGGCCACCATCTGTCTGTTTGCCCATCTAACCATTGTTTGTCCATCTAACCATCAGGACAATCCTTGTGATGATTTGGGCTGGCACCACAATCCTCTCTCTCTGGAAAACCACCGACACTAAATTATTTCAAGCACATGACCATTTTGGCCTCAGCTCATTTGGCAGAATACACCAAGTTCCTAAACCACGATGGGTGGTCCAACATAGCTGCGTAGCAAAAACCATGAAGTGCACTAAATATTAAGAAACAATAACCACCCCCCTTTATTGTGTTTTAGAATCTCTTATGCTGACTTAGATTGCCTAGAATGGAAGACTCTCGGCTGGGGGAGATAAGGGGAGGCGTACTGACCAAGCAGCAGATTGTAGCTCCCACTCACCAAGAGTCTGTCAAATGAGCAAGTCCCATACGCTTCGCATCCTGAGGCATGGGGTGACAAGACACACTCGAGCTGTTTTTAATCTGGTACAGGAGTTCCAGGGGCAGGAGCATCCCAGCCACTCAGCAGGGGACACAGGCCCAGGCTAGACAGGGGCGGGCATTGGGAGGAGCATGCAATACTTTGGAGGTGGGGTGGGCCAGGAAAGGCTCTGGGAGGAGGGCCCACTAGCCGGGCTTCCAAGCTGGGAGGGAGTCATAAATGCACCAGAAGAAGGCAGTGGTTCTCTATGGACCACCAGCATCAGTATTACCTGAGCGTCTGTTACAGAAGGAAATTCTCAGGCCTACTGAGCCAGAAACTCATCTAAGTGTGGCCCAAGATGATGCTCGTAAGTTCTCCGAGTGACTCGGATGCAGGCTCAAGCTTGGGAATAGCTGAGTTGGAGCAAGCCCTTCCCACATTGAACTGGCTGAGCAGTTGACCAGTGCGGGCTGCAGCTCTTGGAGCGGCCTTTATACAAAACCCTCACGCACCTCCCTCAGTGACTGATTGGCTTCCAAACATGGGAATGGCTGCTGACAGAGAGGGCAAAGCCGAAGCAGCAGAGGTGGAAGGTTGAGCCTCTGAGCCCAGCCACTGGGCTCAGCCTCTCCCACGCTCCCTATCAGAGCCGGAGGTCCGAGGACCACCTTTGGAGGCAAGCAAGCAGGTGGCAGTCCATCAGCGCCCCTGAGCTGCAGGAGGATTTGGGAGACTGTTAGATCTCACGGAAGCGTTTGTTGTCCGAATCGCAGCTGGCTGAGCCTGATTGCTGAGGCACTTCCAGGGGCTGTGTAGCCCTTGTTGCTCCAAATCTTCGCCATGGTTATGTAGCTCATATCATGTTTTCCCCAGTAACACCAAGGCTTACATGGCCTTTTCCTTGGAAGTGTTCACTTCTGGGCTGACCACGTCACTGCCTTGCTCAAGTCTGTAGGCCGTCCAGCTGCATGTGCTGTGTCCGTGCAAACAGCCTCCGCCGTCAGTGACAGAGGCTGCCATGTCGGCACTTGACATACTCAACAGTGACCATGGCTCCGTGAATTTCCCCAGGAGCCAAGTACACAGACAGTGGCTCCATGAACCTTGATGGTCCTCCTGAAGAGTAACGGGTGCACCAGCTGCTCCTCAAACAAGCACCTGGGGAGCAGCCGGGTGCTCAGCTGGGGGAATAGTGTAGCACGTGGGCCTGTGTGCACCATGGTTAGCTGAAATTCCGACAGCTCCCAACCACTCACATCACAACCCGCCTTGATATGGGGACACGGGTGTTATGTTGTTGTTTCTGGAAGCAAGCGAGTGATTCTTGCCTTACTGGAGGATGTCCAGTTTGGTAGACCAGAATCAGAAATGACCACGAAAATAACATTATTTCCAGGCTTGGGAGTGGAGTCCTGGGGAAGGATCACCTTCCTTCCTCCTAGGTGCCTTCCACTCTCACCCTCAGTACACAGAGGGAGACAACAAGCGAAGCTGGCTGGCCAAGGCACCCTCGCCTAGGATGAGGTGGGGTGAGACATAAGCTTGTCTGAGCCCGATGCACACCCACTCTGAAGGCCACAAACTCAACTCCTAAGAAAACGACAGCAGCAAGTGCAGGGAGCAACTGCCCACTGACAGCACCTCTGGCTTGTCTGGTGATGGCTGTCATGGTAGAACATTCTCGAAATGAGCTGGCAACAGGCATTCCGTGAGTTCCTTGCTATGTGGGGTTAAACATCTTAATTTGGGAATGAACAATGTCCGACACTAATTCCATATGACTAAACCAAGCAGCCAGCCTGCCAGTTAAACATTTGTTCTGCCAGGCAGAGCAACATACGCCTGAAGAAAGCCTGGCCCCTGCCCCGGAGGGTGTAATGGAGACCCAGTGCCAGGTGCTGCCTTACATCAGAGGGTCCCAGTGGTGAGAAGCAGAGCAGGCCGAGGGGGCGTGAGAGGAGACACTACGGGACAAGGGGCACACCAGATGCCAGCCGAGTACCCAGGTGGGAGAGGGTGGTGGCCTGTTGTCTCGCCAGTCTGAGGGACAGCTGGCTTGGCACTAATGGAGCCTAAGTCACTTGTGTGTGGGCAGACACTCATTGGCTAGTCCAGTAAGCCACCCCCCTCCCCCCAGTGTCTGCCTCCTTACCTTGTGCTCACTTCTGCCCACTGCAGGGGCAAGGCCAGAAGCGACTGACTACCTTGGCTAGAAGGGTTTAAAGCAGCAGTTCTCAACCTGTGGGTCAAGACCCCTTTGGGGGTTGAATAACCCTTTCACAGGGGTTGTTCGATTCATAACAGTAGCAAAATGACAGTTATGAAGTAGCAACGAAAATAATTTTATGGTTGGGGGGTCACCACCACACGAAGAACTATATTACAGGGTCGCGGCATTAGGAAGATTGAGAACCACTGGTATAAAGGAAAGCTTTATGCGCCACTTCCCTCCCTCTGCCCTTCCCCAGGCTGGCTCACTGGGGCTGTGGAGACTTCCTGTGTCCCATGTCCAGGCCCCCGCCAGCCCAGCCCAGCCACCGCAAGGAGGGAGCCGGGAGCAGTACCTGGTGTGGGTCAGAGGCCCCACTGGTCGTTCCGGTCTTCTTGGGGGCAGCGCCCCAGGTCTGCTGAGAGAATTGGTCTTGGGTGGCCGAGGTTTTTTGGGTGGTATGGCAGGAACAGAGGGCTTCTGCAAGTCCAGTTTTGGCTCTCTCTCTGGTCTTTCTTTAAATCATTGTTCAAAAAATCACAAAGAAAACAGATAGATCCAGTGTAAGTGACAGGACTCCGGTACAAATTGTTTGTTTCCTGCTTTCAAAAACTCTCCAGTGACATTTGGGAAGTTGGAGGAGGAAGAAGAGGAGCTTCATTTATCCTTTGTCATGTTAGAAAAAAACCCTGGAGCTGCAGCTCACTGTGAGCCGCCCACCCCGCGCCCCGCAGGGCCTTTGCTCACATTGGTCCCTCTGCCTAAAATGTTCTTCCAGTCACTGCCCATGCTCAGCAGACTCCTATTCATCCTTCAAAGCCAAGTGGAAATGCGACTATACCTTCTCAACAGCTAGGTCTGCCTCCAAAGACGGGTAGATTGACTGACTGTGCAGGACCCAAGCCCCTCAAGGCAGCTCTGCCTCAGTGGGCTCCACTTAGACCACACTCCCTCCTTGACACAGCCTGTTGGGCTGTCAGCTCCCAAGAACAGAGTGCACGTCTGGCAATCTCCTGGAAGCCCTTACAGCGCCCAACCTGTCATAGGAGGGGCGGGCTTGGCTAAAGGCCCCTGAGATCTGCTGCGAAGAGGGCAGAGTATGTGGGAAGGGCCGGGAGCCGACTCAGGGACCAACAATCAGTTCTGGGTTCTTCCTGTGCTTTGAAGGTAAAGGTAAACTCGGCTGCACAGGTATTTTCCCTCCAGGGCTCCTTAGAACCAGAGTCATTTGAATGAAACTGAAGCCAGATCTGGTGGCAAAACTGTGCAGTGTTCAGTGACAGCATCATGTTTTCTGTCTTCAATTGGCCTTGCCCTGTGCACAGTCTACAGATAGAACGTCAGAGAGATACCAACGGGAGTACAGGAAGGAAACGTAGGTTTGTTTGCGAGCTGTGTGACACATTTTACCTGCAAACCCTAACGCAAATGATGCTTGGGTCCCCAGGACAAGTGTCGAAAGTTTTAAGATGCTCATTAGGTATATGACGGGCATGATTCTGCTCATCCCCACAGCATTTCTATGGGGAAATGTGCTCTGACTCAGGATTCTGGGAACATATGTACTGGTCCCTGAGGGCAGGAAAAAGGTGATTTCTTGTCCTGGGCAGCAGGCTGGGGACCAAGCACCAGGGGCCTGCAGAACAGGAGTTGGGGCTTGGACCAGCTAAGTGATAAGGAGTCTCTGGGTAAATCTATTTCCTGTTGCTCTGTCCAGGGGGCCTACATTTCCCTTGTGGCACAGAGCAAAGAATCCAGGGGCTAGTGTTGTATGTTAATGAGCCTGAACCAGAGGGGAGAAGGTCCTCTCCACGGAGCCGGGCTATAACACAGAAATGAGCCACGTGTCCTCCAGGAGGACAAGGCACAACATTGGGCTACCACTTCCCACTGTGCCTGCTATAGACACCTGGGCTTTACCGGGAGGTTTCTACAGCCCACGATTTAACTGCTTGCTGTTGGGGAAAAAAAAAAAAAAGAGAAGTGTAATGTCGGAGATTGCAATGTTGGTGAAACTTCTGGCAGGTTGATATGAAATATTAAATTTCACAATAAAATTTTATGAGGCCACCAAGGAACACCGCCAAATAATTATATTCATTAATTTAGCACTGCTCTTGTGACTGAAATCTACCTGCTTTTTAAAATGGAATTTTGCTATGCCTCCTGTTCATAACAATAACATAGCACTTTTCCCATAAAATGTGATCAATCAAATCTCAGACACCTAAGGAAAAAAAAAAGCCCTTCCACAGCTCGCAGCTTTCTTTGGGAGAGACACTCATTATAGTAGAAGTCCGACCCACAGCAAACTAATGGCTCGGCCAATGAGGCATGATAAACTACTCCCGTGCACATGACACTTCTTATTACCTTTAGGAGTCCCTGGGGGGCTCAGATGGCTAAGGGTTCCGCTATTAATGGCACAGTTGGCAGTTTGAATCTCTGCCCTCCCTCCTCAGGTGCCGTGATAGAAAGGCCTGGTCGTCTACACGTCTACACAGAGTCACCCGGAGCCAGAATCAGCTCGCCAGGAACTTTTGTTTTTTTAATTTGGTGTTCAGGAGATTCCAGGCATGGAATGGCTTTTTTCAGTTGTGTCAACTGTCCTCTGTGCCAACATTTTTGACCCAGGACATGTGTCTGTAACACAGTCAGGGAGGGTTAAGGGTCCAGCAGAAACGGAGGAATAGCACTCTCCTTTGTCTGAACAGGAGTTAAGAAAGCTATGTCCAGCCTTCAACACTTCATGAGCACCCTGGTGTATGAGGCCTTGGGAGCCAGGCTAGGCTGGCTACACAATGGAGACAGCATATCTTGGCTCTCAAGGAACTCCTTGTCATCATCACTGCTTCCGGATGCTGCTGGTGCGGGCAGGGCAGCGACAGCAGGGGCAACCACTGAAGAGCCCAGGGGACCATGTTGCTGGCTCAGTTGTTTTTCATTTGACGAGACACTTTGGTCCAAAGAATTGCTATATAACCTTCTCCTATTTCCTTAGAAATGGGATATTGAAAAGTAATCAAAATGAAGCCATAATCGTCAAATGCTAAAGAAAAAGTAAGGTCTCTGGGTCCTCAGCTTAGCCCTGTGATAGGCAGCTTTGCCTCTGGAAGTGCCCACGAAGCACTGATTTCATACCTTTTTCTTCTGTTCTGTTAGGAAGCGTTTCTGGCCTTTCCGGAGGTATCTTTTTAAGTTCATGTTTTCTCTCAGTGGTACCTAGAGGGGAGAGAATAGTGATCAGGAAATATTTTCTCTATTCCTTTATTCGACACATCAGCATTTAAACAGTTATGCAGTATAGTAAAGCCCCACTGCTTGTCTATCAGTTTGCCATAGTGTGGGATCTTATGAGTTAGTGTGAGGCTGGAAGTTATTCCATTGGGTTTTGTAATACTAGTAAGGTCACTTATGATGGACAAGTTTCAGCAGAGCTTTCAGACTAAGTAGACAAGGAAGGAGAACCTAATGATCTACTTTGAAAGAAAAACCGGACCATGAAAACCTTATGAATAGCAGCAAAATCTTGTCCGATATAGTGCTAGACGATGAACCTGTCAAGTTGGAAGGATCTCAAACAGGACTCCTCAAAGCAGAGGTGACCTAACTAATGTGGACGGAAGAAAGCTTTCAGGATCATGAAGTGCTGATATGGTACGGTTCAAAATGAGAAGAAAAAGTTATAAATATCCATTAATAACTAGAATGTGGAATATATGAAATATGAATGTAGGCAAACTATAAGTCATAAAATATGAAATGGAACTAACAAGTATCAATATCAGAGGCATTAGTGAGCTGAAATGGACTGGTATTGGCCATTTTAAACCAGACGATCCTATGGGTGACTGCCGGGAATGACGAATGAAAGAAGAATGGCATCACGTTCATCTTCCAACAGAGCATTTCCAGATCTGTCCTGAAGTCTAACGCAGTCACTGATAATAGCCATACACATATTAAGGGCAGTTAATCTGATTATTATTCAAATTTATGTACCAACCACTCATGCCAAAGATGGAGAAACAAGACCATCACCACCTTCGGCAGGGTGAAATTGCTCAAACATGCAGTTAAGATGCATGGATAATTATTAGTGATTCGAATATGCATGTTGGAAACAAAGTAGGACCAGTAGCCAGACAATATGGCTTTGGTAATAGAAACTATACCAAACATGGCATGACAGAATTTTACAAGACCAATAACTAATTAATTGCAATATATGTCTTTTCAACAACATATATGGCAACTATACACACAGAATGAGATGAGAATGAGATGGAATACACGTAGATGTCAAATAAATTACATCTGTAGAAAGAAATGATTGAGAAGCTCAATATCTTCTGTCCAAAAAAAAGGCCAGGAGAGACTGTGGAACTGACCAGCAATTGTTCATATGCAAGTTGTAGCTGAAGAGAATGAAAACAAGTTCCAGAGAAATAAATGTACAGAGCTTCTCAAGAATAGATTTGAGGCACTAAACACTAAGGACTGAAGTTCAGACAAATTGTGGAATGACATAAAGGATGTCATACATGAAGAAAACAAAAGGCTATTAGAAATGACAGGAATGACAGAAAAGGCCAAAGTGGATGTCACAAGAGATTCTGACACTTGCTATTAAGAGCAGAATAGCTAAAGCAATTGGAAGAAATGATGAAGCAAAAGAGTTGAACAGGACATTTCAAAGGGCAGCTCAAGAACACAAAGTATTACAGTGAAATGTGCGGGAATAGCTGACATGTAAGAAATCCAGCCACTGTGAGACCATTATGCTGCAGAGGCCACATGGATAGGCCAGTCAATAGCCCTAACCTGAGTCAACCTTACAGCTCTCTTTGCTAAGAGGTAACAGGTCTGTGAACACAAAAGCAGTCCCAAATTCATGACCCACCAGATCTGAGCATTTAGTTGTTGCCATTGACTTTGGGACAATTTGTGATGCAACAAGAGCAACTGGAACACATTAATAAGGTGAGGGATCTGCAGAGAAGATGTGGTGGTTTCCCTACAGTTCTTCCTGTCTGTAGCTGAGTCTCTCAAGTATGACATTTCTAAATGAACCAACTAGCATTTCACTGTCACCCTGATGGATAGCAGCTGCTCCCTGCGCGCAGGCAGGGTGGGGACTCATTGGTGGCTATGGCTAAAGGATGCAAGAACACTTGGAAAATAGTTAAAGCAACAAATTTGAAACACTATTCCTATTTATGAACTTGGTTAAGGGCTTGGCAAACTCTATATGGCCAGCTCCAAAGATAGGGGTTTAGAACAGTGACTTCACTTTTATCCTCTTAATGACTCACTATAATTAAACTCTTTATTAGATTTGGATTTTTGTTGATTCTGTATCTGTTGTGTGTGTTTTTAAAAAATCAAATAAAAATAATTAAAGTTGGAGATGAGGAAAATATGACTAGCTACTTCCCATCCCCAGCAGTTTTCAAGGTCATTTTGCAGAATTAGTGAGCAATTTCAGTAACATAGGAATACTGGGAGAAGTCCTGGTGGTATAGGACAGTTCAAAACCATCAACCACTTAATGGGAGAAAAATGAGACTACCTACTCTCATAAAGGGTTAAAGTCTCAGAAACCTATAGGGGTAGTTCTCCCCCACCCTATGGGGTGGATATGAGTAGGAATGAACTTGATGGCAGTGAGTTTGGAGGATTCAGATTGCATCTTGCCTTGCTCCACTCACAGAGGCGCATCATAAGCTTTGGTAGCAGCATTTTCAAAGGAGAAGAATCTGTCTACTACCATGCCATGCAGATCCTCTACTAATGATAGTGAAGAAGTTCAGAATGAGACCTGGAGACACAGTAGAAACTGATGATCCTAATATCATGAAGAATCCAATCCCAGTCCCAGTCCCCGCCACTAGAACCTTGGCCCACTAGACTTACTTTGGTGTGGCCTGTGAACTTCCAGCATTCGGTGTCATTGCATGTGTTTCGTGAGTCAGAAGAGGACTTTATAGATTGGTATCAGACATGTGGGCTAATATTGGACTTATAGACTTGACCTGGACTGGGCTGTTTCCTCAATATGTAACTGCTCTTGCATAGAAACCGCTTTTTTATTCACATGAGTCTCTAAGAATTTGTTTCTTTAGTCTACCCAGACTAACACACTTAGCCTTCTTGATCTCCTATGAGTTACCAAGACTTCTAGGGAAAAAAGATCTTCAGAGAAAAGAAAAGAAAAAGCCTGCTGTAATTTCCACTAATATTTATTCTGCCAGAACCACCAGGTGGCAAAATTAAGCTGCTCAATGCAAACGAGGATGGGGGTGGAGCAGGAGATCAAACTGACATCCCTTTTCAGGCCTGAATCTGCAATTCTCAAGAAATGGGAAAGGAATTGGGGTTTATGCTGATATATTCTTAACCTGGTGGGCCAAAAGAATTTTAAAAAAATCATTCCTTAGTAAATATATAAATAAACCAATGTGGAAGTGTATTCACACTTGAAATGATATTATAAAAATCACAACTGTGAAGGTGCAGAGCTGAAAATACCTTCACTTTCCTATTTTACTTGCTATTTTAAAAATAATCCCATTGAACTATTTCTTCAGGGGGAACTTCCCTTCACAATAGATTTTTTACAGTTAAAAAGAGGAATTCTAGTGGAACATATGCATAAGAATCTAGTATACAAATGTCCGTCAGTAATTCTACTTATATTACTCAACCGTCATGAGTGAACTATGCAGAAAAATCAAAGTGACCACTTTTCGAGATTAAAAACAAATCATGAGAGAAAGCATTTATCATTATAAAAAAAATTTCCCCCATGGGAACATCAAGCAAGTGCAAATTTTGGTTCATCACATGAGGTACACTGTAAATTCCGCAATTCGATTCACCAAAGAGCCCTGGTGGTACAGTGGGTTAGGCTGCTAATGCCAGCTCAGCAGTTCAAACCCACCAGCTATTCCCCAAAAGAAAGATAGGGCAGTTCGCTCCAGTAAAGATCTAGTTTCAGAAGCCCTAAGGAGCCGTTCTCCGTTCTCCCCTGTCTTATAGCTATCCGATGACTCTGAGTTGGAATTGACTCAGTGGCATTGGGTTTGGCTTGGTTTTTGGATACATGCTCAGTGACATTATGAGCCAAGGGGTGAAATCGTCCCCTAGCTGATCTTAGATGGGACCCATGCTAAGCAGGACAATCAGGTTCTCTTGAACTCAAAAGCAGTTTAGTAACAAAGAACCCCAAATCCATTTGCAGGGTTCCCACTTGGATTAAGCCTCCATGGAATTCCCTCTGACCATTGACCAGCAATGTGAGTATCTTGCCATCAGACAGAGCATATTGGGAAGTGGGCTAATACAGATAGGTTACAATTTATTTGTTCTCCCCTTTGACTCATTACTAAATTGTTCTAGTTTTTATTATTTTTTGTTATGTTTTCAACTGGGTTTTACCTATGTTTTATTTTATAATTGTGTTTTCTTGTTTTATTCGCGTTTTGTTTTTGTATGTTTTTCTCTATATGAAATCCAAGGTAGGTAAATCTTTTTTTTAAATCATTTTATTGGGGTCTCTTATAACTCTTATCACAATCCATACATCCATCATGTCCAGCACATTTGTACATTTGCTGCCATCATCATTTTCAAAACATTTT